AGGAAGGAAGGGAGGGAGGGAGGGAGGAAGGAAGAGAGGAAGGGAGGGAGGGAGGAAGGGACGGAGGAAGAGAGGGAGGAAGGGAGGGAGGAAGGAAGGGAGGGAGGGAGGGAGGAAGAGAGGGAGGGAGGGAGGGAGGGAGGGAGGAAGGAAGGAAGGGAGGGAGGAAGGAAGGAAGGGAGGGAGGGAGGAAGGAATGGAGGGAGGAAGGGAGGAAGGGAAGGGAGGAAGGAAGGAAGGGAGGTGAGGGAGGGAGGAAGGGAGGGAGGAAGAGAGGAAGGAATGGAGGGAGGAAGGGAAGGGAGGAAGGAAGGGAGGTGAGGGAGGGAGGGAGGGAGGAAGGAAGGGAGGAAGGAAGGAAGGGAGGGAGGAAGGAAGGGAGGAAGGAAGGGAGGGAGGAAGGGAGGGAGGCTTTGATTCATGTTGAATCCTCTGAAGGAGGACAGACATGAAGAGAGAAGATGAAGATGATGATAAGTACTACACAGTAATACGTTGTTACAGTAAAAGTACGAATACCACACATGGATAATACTCTGACAGTAAGAGTACTAATACCACTGTGTAAAAGTACTCAGTTACATTAAAAGTACTAACACCACATTGTAATAATACTCTGTTACAGTAAAATATCCCTTCAGTATAATCAGTAAAATATAGTTAAAGTATTCAGACTGTGACTGTTGTACTAATATATGTTATATCATTAGAGTATTATTACTCATGCATTAAACACAGACATGTACTGCTGTACTTGTTTCTGTAAAGTAATGAAAGCTGTCAGATAAAAGTACAACAGTAAAAACGTATGAGGTGTAGAATACATAAATATAAATACTTCAGTAAAGTTCATAAAGCTCATACTTGTACTTGAGTTCATGTACTTTCCACCTGTGGAACTAAAAGCCCGATCCAGAAAAACACAATAAAAGTACACAAAAGTTTTAGACGTTTAATGTAATAAATCTTCTTCTGGTGTTTATCAGACTCCTTCTTCTTCTTCTTCTTCTTCTTCTTCTGATTGTTTAAAGACTGTAATCAGTTTGTTCTGAGGTCAAATCAAACTGCTGACACAGCAGTTTGACAACCTGGGAATTTCCTCATCAGGTGAGTCTGTGTGTGTGTGAGTGTGTTCCTGTGTGTGTGTGTGTGAGTGTTCCTGTGTGTTCCTGTGTGTTCCTGTGTGTGTGTGTGTGTGTGTGTATGTGTGTGTGTGTGTATGTGTGTATGTGTGTGTTCCTGTGTGTGTGTGTGTGTGTGTGCATGTGTATGTGTGTGTGTGTTCCTGTGTGTATGTGTGTGTCTGTTCCTGTGTGTCTGTTCCTGTGTGTCTGATCCTGTGTGTCTGTTCATGTGTGTACGTGTTCCTGTGTGTGTGTGGAGTTTCCAGTGTGGGCGGGGCCATGGCTCCAGGAAATAAACTGTGTCGCTGTGGTTTCTGGGTGTTTCATCTGTCCATCATGTGTATAAAGCGGCTCGTGACCGTGTACCGTGTGTTCGATACCTCAGTCTCTCCGTGATGACTGAGGCCGTCCTCGTGGATATGATCCACGGCTGCGGTCCGCGCTGCACCGCCGCGTCTCTACCGGAGGATGAACCCGCATCTCCGCCTCACGTCTTCCTGCTGTGCGGTACCGGGGACGCGTGTCTGAGCGCGTGCAGCAGCAGCGTGCACGTGCTGGACTCGGGCTCCACCGCGGAGCGTCTGTACCGGTTCAAACAGACCGTGGACCAGCTGGACCTGAGCTCGGTCCGGGTCTACACGACCCCGCGAGGCCGTGACGTGCTGCTCCTCTACCAGCAGCAGCTGTTTACGGAAGTGTACACCTTCCACTACCACGTGGACCACCGGCTCACATGTCCGGGCTGCACAGGCTCCGCCCACTCTGCGGGGGACCCACCTGGTGGTGATGACGCGGTCCAGGTAGAACAACAGGTGTCCCGGTTTCTGCAGCAGCTGCCCGCGCTGAAGGGCGGAGTCAGGGTTCTGACGTCATCGCTGATTCCAGGTCGGTTAAAAAAATTAAAAAAACATTTTACCTGAAAAGTTTAACAACTTTAAAACTTTATTAGTGCATGTGATGACACACAATATATA